CCTCAGCGATTCATCAACCCGGTCACGGGAGTCACTGGTTTTCCTCACGGGGGGCTTTTCTGTGTACACGTAGCGGACAGGGGACAGGGTGCGGAGTTGAGGTGGGTACGTGTTTGGCGTGCAATGGGTGAGAGGTATAACGCAAACACAGCCAACGGAGACGACAAAGTTGACGACAAGAGCAGTACGAGCGCCTGCCACGACCATGGCACTACGATACCGCTGGAGATCGAAACTCTTCCCCCTTCTCTCAAGACCCCTGAGCTCGCACAGCAGTGCCGCGTGTTGGCATCTACGTCTCAGCCTACGGTATCCGGTAGGCCGCATTCGCCCTTGCAACCTATAGAATGCAAGCAGTACAGTCCACGCTACATTCCAGCATGAAGAGTCCCTTCAGACCGCTATCAAACGCTCACCATCGACACTACAGTAGTGAGGGATCTTCCGAATTCTGCAATAGACCACAGCGGTGAAACGTCTTCACTACTCGCCTTTGCAGCTCAAAGGAAGGAAGCCGTACAGCTCTCTTGCCGCCCGCAGCGCCTCCAGGTCGTTGTCGTAGGCCGCGTGCGCTACCCCGGACACGGTGGTGTGGGATTGGGCCCCTCCTAGGACCTCCTGCGTCACTTCCTCCTGGGTGACCGTCTTCACGACGCCTGGGCCTGACAACATCAAGGATATCGACAGTACAAAATAAAGAAGATAACCAATATTACGTTTGGATATCAACGACGGTATCGGAAACAACGCGTGATACAATCACTATGCCAACATACGTTTCCTTCGACAAGCAAATCCAATAAAACAAGAAGCACGATTCGTGGAGAGAATGCCGTAACAGAGCAAAATATTCTAGTAACCTAGCAACAATCCCAAGCAGCTATTAGCTTCCACTCTCGACAGACTCAACTCCAAGATATGATTATCTAATTGACATCGAGAAATCGCAACAGACTCTGCTACAGTGTGCGCAACAAAAAATATAAACCCTGCCGCCATGCACACGAAGCTTGTCATCGCCAGAAGATGCGCCGCCGCTCCGGCGCTACGCACGAAAAGAGCAGGTACTCTCAATGAAAGCAACAACAGTCACAGACCACACATGCTTTTACTTACGAATATAAAGCAAACCCGCATGCAGACATACCATGGTACACGACGGCGAGAACAGACCGTTAACTTCAGCGAAAGATATCATACAGAAGCATTGCACCCAAACCTCTTCACGAAATCAAAACGACCAAGAATCCGACACGTGCATACCTGTAACGAACATGTAGGAAGAGCGCTTCACCATGAATATGAAGTCCGTCATAGCGGGAGAATACACCGCCCCCCCCGCACATGCCCCCATGATCAAGGACAGCTGCGGAATCGACCCCGAAGCATCCACATTGCGTTGAAAAACGTCCGCGTATCCGGCGAGCGAATCAACCCCTTCTTGGATACGCGCTCCCCCCGAGTCATTCAGCCCAATCACGGGGCATCCCAGCTAAAGACAGCCAGAAAATGAGAGACAGGGGGGACATGTGACACCGAGTAAGATAGCGGATGCTGTGTAGCAAGTGTATCGGGACGACGATAGGAACATTAATCTCTGATGTTCCCTAGCATTCCTCTGGTTACATAAATCCTGCCCACCACCATCTGAGGGATGCGGTAGGAAGCGTTTATAACATGTACATGATCATCAGCAACTTGCTTTGGTCGTAAAAAAATACGGCGCAAATATCGCCTTTTCATTACATTCTCCCTGGTTCGTGTAAGTGTATGCACTGCTGTGTCAACTATGCTCTCTCTCTCTTGGGCCACGAGATTTATTTGCACAACACGCGGGGCGCTCGTGGAAACCTGCAGTGCTTGGTCCATGATCTTGCATATCTTTTGGGCGTGAGTTTCGGAGAGGCTCCCCCCCATGACCGTGAAATCTTGGCTGAACACGAAGACAGTTCGCCCGTTGATCTCGCCTCGCCCCGTCACCTGCACCAAACAAGGAGTGCAAGCAATGGCGAAAGGATCTTGCATTGTCTTTGTGGTTCGTCCTTCTTCTTTTCATGTTCTGATGGTTGAAGAAGATTTGTACATGCAGCCTATGTGGGCTCCTTGTCACGCCTCCGGGCTTGCCTGAGACATGAAACAGGACGAATAGAAACAAACACGTGCGCAAACGAGGTAGGTTAGTGTACGGGACATTGGCATGTGCGATATATCGCGTCACTTTGTGGCATTCTTTGCATGCAATTCATGCCAAGCAGCAGCCTGATTGGATCGAGGAAGTGGTGCGCGTTATCGTGACCGTGTCATGCATGCACCACAACACTGCAACCCAATGGAGTTGTTGCGCGCATGTGCAAGCTGGACGTTATTCCTAACGTTGGGATTGCTTTATTTCCAATACAAACATCCCTCGACAAACAGGGCTAACGCTGTGCTGTAGTACAGAAAAAGAGCTAGTACGGTAGAAAATACTGGTCAAACTAATGGCCCAGGTGTGATACTGCATGTTTATGCAACAAACCTTCGACTGCGAGTAAAAGCGTTGATACGCACAGCAGCACCAGCGCGGTGCCATTTGCATGCATCGGCGACGAAAGAGGAGGGAGAGGATCGTGTGTAGCCTTAAGGAAGACATCCACAAAAGAGCCAGCGCAAATCAACGTTCCGCACTCGATCTCACCACACCATCCCCCGGCACCAGGTCCTTCTCCATGCCGAAGTCCGTGCAGCGGTGCGTTTTGAGCATGTCGTACTCACGGAAAGACCCCGGGTCCAGCAACACGTCCAGTCTCTCTCTCGCCGACAGCTTCCCCCTTGAGTGCTGACGTTCCAGGCGGGCGTCGCCCCCCCCCGCCAGCGCGTGGCGCTTCGTTTCCTCCAGCTGCTCTCGAAACACTCGCTTTACTTCGGGGATATTGACAGCTTCTTCTTCCGCTGTTGCTGTTGCTGCTGCTGCTGCTGCTGCTCCTGAAGAGCTGCTCCTGCTGGAAGACCGCCCGCGGCTGCTGGCGACAACACATGGCGCTGGTGCTGCTGTGGGGTTGACAGACGACGAGGAAGCCGCCTTGTTCAAGGTTGACGTTGATGTTGATGTTGCTGGCGATGCTTGCAGCGCGGCGTGTACGACATGCCGCCCGCTGCTGAGCGCCGCCGTGCAAGTCTGGTAGGAGGGGGGAAGTGGTGAAGGTTCGATCAGGGCTGTGGAGTATGGATGGTGTGGAGAGCGCTGAGAGCGGTGCCGTGGCAACCTCAAGTCTAAGCGGCATTTTGTCACTCCCGCCCGACAGCCTGATCACTCTCCTCGCATCCACACAGCAGTTAATCGAGAAACACACACAGGAGCGGCAGCTTTGCGTGATGTGTCGGTGCGCTTTTAGATACTTATGCACGTGGTATGTGCTGAAAGCCGGTGGGCAGCGGGTGACAAACGTTCACGTCTGTGCAAGAGCAAGAGAAAGTCTACAAGCGCGCGTTGCATCGCAAGCATGTTGGTGCGGTGAATCTCATGCTGCTGCTGCTGCTGCTGCTGCTGCTGCTGCTGCTGCTGCTGCTGCTGCTGCTGCTGCTGCTGCTGCTGCTGCAGGTCTGTGTGTTCAGGTTCTACGTGTGTTCAACCTCTCGCAAGCTGCACGAAAGGACGGCGCTGCTGCAGAAAGCTATGGGAACGACTGAACGGCTACCGTAGGTGTCGATTCATCTGCCCCATCGAACACACACGAAGGAAAGAGCCAGGGCCCAGGGCGGCGTGATAACTGGGTGGATACGATCATCATGTCCTGTTATCAAAAGGAACCGACAGCAGCGTGATTATGACGCGAGAAGTGTATTGAGCATGACAACTACTGCGCATGAAATCACATACCTGATGCACCGATACTCCTCTCAGAGCTAACAGAGACCGAGCTGTAAGCATTGCTTTCAGCTTGAGGTATCCGGCGTAGCAGGTCGCCCTTGCACTGCTTCACGGGCAACAGGTTCGACCAGTTCGCCATCTTAGGGGGTCTACAGACAGTTGTATCCCGGTGGGGTGGTATTGACCTCAAATCCAAACCGGCCGTGGAGGATGTGAATGTCACAGACAGCAGCAGCAGTAGCCACCGCACCCGTCCTTGTATTTCCAACTTTACCCGGGGCTCGGGTTGTGTTTTGTTTGTATAGGGGCGAGCACGTAGGCTCCCCATAAGAGCTGTAGGTTGAGCGTAAATCAGATGACGTAAGATACCACACCCCCCTGGACCATCAAGGCTCGTAGTGAGGACTCGTAGACATGCCTGTAGTGATTTCCGTACCAGCATAAGTGTTGGCACCGAAGAATGGCGGCGTTGGAATCGCCTCGTTGGGAGCGTTCCGAAAACATATAAAATGATGTTACATCTGCTTCTAGGTGAGGACTCTAACTTTATAAATCGGTTCAAGGGTTTTTTTATGTGAAGACAACAAGGGGTGATGGTGTGATACGAAGCTTGTGTCACATGTGGTGGTGAGACGTGCTCGACGTCGTGTGGGATTATTATTTGATTCCTCGACGTTTGAGCCTCCATTCCACCTGCTGCAAGAACATGACCCTCAAAGTCAATAAGTCTTTCACGGTCACTCTCTCGCGCTGCCTTCTTTTTGCAGACGATGTCGAGGATGGTGCCATACGACGACCCACACGAATCTAGTATCACTCTCTCGCGCTGCCTTCTTTTTGCAGACGATGTCGAGGATGGTGCCATACGACGACCCACACGAATCTAGTATCTAAGACTATATGTAAGTATTTTGAAGCTGTAGTCTAAGCAATGTAGACTAGATAATGTACAAGAAGGCGCATCCAGATCTAAATGTCCAAACGGACGTTGAATTGATCCAATCGCATTGATCGAGTGCACTATGGTCGAGCCTAATGTGTAGACTTCAGTTGGTTCAAGTCTACTCATCATACGATCATCAGAAATTGTCCATACACAAGGCTGAAGCCCCCCCTCTCCTGGGAGGAAGCCCGCCGAACAGATGGTTCTCCGGTTGGATATCAAAATCAGTGCTTGACTTTCTGCTTCATCATACTAAAGTCTACCAAGTAAAGTACGATGTAAGTCAAGCAAAGCAATGATCGCACACAACGGGGTACGCCTGCATCGACAGCACCTGTCCCGCTTAAACCATGCTTGGAACGATCAGCCTTTTGACAGATTATCGACAATACAACTTAGGCTATATCTCTACATGTAGCAACTAAAATAGTGTTTCACATATATACGAGGCCTATGCAGTAAAACCTATTCTATTCACCCTCTAGCCGGCAGAGAATACCCTTCGCGGGTGGAAAACGCACACCTCCGAGCCACGTTGTTGCAAGTTCCAAAGATCAGGGGTGGTTCTGGGTCTTCCAGGATGCCGCCCGGTGTTGGTTGCAACCTACCACGTACGTACTTGCGGGAACGACGAACAAGAGCCCAACCAAGTTCCTGCTACTCTTGCTGGCCACAACGATACCGGCCGATAGAAACACTGCTAACCACCAGCAGAATTTAGGCTTACCCATCAGAGCCATCCCAACAGAAAAAAACAAGATCCGGGGGGACCAAAGTACACCGAACGGCGCTGCCGCACCCTCGACTTTTTGTCAAACCTGGTGCCCCCCCCCCAAAAAAAAAAATCATTCATGTGCATGAAATAAAGCGACGACGACGAGTGTAGAACGAACATGTGCGACCCCCGTGCGTACCAACATGTAAACGAGTAAACTGACCACCCTTTTGTGAAGAAAACGTACTAAAATAGCACATGCACGTAGATAAGAAAATGAGGAAACAACAGTATATTAATGACTCCAAGCATATTCCGAAAAAATTGGGTATTTATGCCCTCCACATCCTCTGTTTCACAGCGTGGCGTGTGTACTTACCCACACCAGCAAAACTGCATTCCAAGATGCCGAGCGACTAAAGGAAGTAAATATACATACATATGCAAAATACGCATGGTATCTAAATTTTACTACCTGACGTACACGATCACGCGCCCCATCCATCGTTTCCCCTTCCATGAACGACTGCAAAGCGGCCAACACAACCTCCAAGCAATCCGAATGCGAACGAGTCAGGTCTCTTTCTATATGTGGTTGAATAATTGTCCCTAAATTGTTCGTTACAACGATGAAAAGAACGCAGCATACGCGTGATCTTTGCACAACCACGCATATGGCGTGATACTAAACAGAAAATACATAGACGAGGGGTCCAATGCACATCTTGATTTCCCCATGACTCCAAACATCACCTCGATACATGCCAATACATTCTAATCTCACCAAAACCGTGAACAAACAAGCTCCCGTCGCTCAGAGATAGCCCAAAACTTCAGCGGGGCTGAGAGGTAGTACAACTTTTCACGAGCGCTGCGTTCTTGTTGCTTCCTTATTCAAAAGCCACGTTTTGTTGGAGTCGAAGCCACACAGGGAAATGTTTATCCGCTCGTGCTGGTCTTTCAAGTTCTCCGCGACTACGGCGGCGCCCCAAATGTCACACTCCGAGAAACATGCCTCGCATACGGCTTTGCCAGTCAGGCTCATTGCCGTCGATGCGACACCCATGGTGGCTGCCATGGACCTCCGCGTGGACCGACCTGTTCCCTGATATTGTGCCACCCTGCCCTTAGTGCCATCACAAAGGCATCAGGGTGCGAGAAATGATTTCCCGGCCAATTTCCGCGTGCCCACATAGAGCCTGCACCTCGATAGCGGCACCCTCGGCATCAGCAGCTCCGAAATTGTTGTTCAACCTCCGGCAACGCTCCATACCATTTCTCATTCCCGTCTGATTGGGATTTGAAGACTTTCCTTCGGCTTCTCTTTGCCCCAGCTTGCCAGATGTACGCCTCTCGTCCTCGCGATCACCCACATATTACCGACCGAAGGGAAGCCTGTGGCTTTTTCAGTGGCGCAGCAGGACCGGAACCAATAATACGGCCTTTGTGTCATATCACCCCCAACCAGAGCTCCAGAAGTCGTCAAAGTCCGAAGCCTCTCCCTTCGCGGGAACACACCGGATTTTCTTCCTGTCACTCGCCGTGCTGCATGGGGTAACATCGCAACCGTCTTGCATCATCGTCGTGATCAGAGCAGGCGGTTTCAGCTTCGTTTGCTTCTTCTCGTCGGTTGAGCGCATCACGCCGCTTTGGCTCCCGCCTTCGCCGCCGCTGGTAACTAAAGCCCCGGCGGCGCTCAGCGGCGCCTCGTTATTCTTGGCCAAAGCAATTGGTGTCATGCTGAAAGCACGGGGAGAGTGCACGCGTTGCAGCACCCGGTGCTGCTTTCCCTCCATCCCACCTCTGATCCGCCTCGCACCTACGGTTGAGTTCCCTACCGGCTCTCCGTCCCCGCTCGGACTAGGCGGCGGGGGTGACCGAGGGCGAAACGTTATCTTCGTAGACGCTGGGCTCGGACGCGCCAAGACACGAGGGGGTGTCATCATATTGCTATCCTGGAACAGTGCCTTCCCACCCGGAGGTGCTATAGTTGGTGCTCCCCGTGACATAGAAGGGCTGGCGGACACGGCCCTGCGCCCACCGCTGTCTTCACCGCCGCCGCCGCCGCCGCCACCCCTTCCGGGTCTGCCACGATGGAACGCCAATGCAGCCCGCTCTCCGCGACGAACAGGCGAGAGAGCCCTTCGTCCACCTCTTGGATCCTTCCTCCCAGACCGCCGAACGAGATTGAGGCGGGCAAACGCCGGTGAAGTAACAGTAGGCCCTGCCGGCGTTCGCACGACGTCCATGAGGGCGTCCACGATGACCGCAACGTCGGCGCGTCGCACGTAGATCAGAGGCTCGGTCCCGCACGTCGATGCCGCTCCAGCCAACCTCGTCAGGGCCTCCTCGAAGGGATTTCCCCGCGCGCTGCTGGCGGTATTGTTGGGGGTGGCAGCGGCAGGAGCGCTCTCTTGAGTTGACGTACCGGGTGCTTGACGCCGCACCCCGTCAGAACTCTTATCGAGAAAGGCCTCCAGCTCGCCTGTGAGGAGCAGGTTCGCGGCGATCTCGCATGACCTCGCGCTGTTGCCGTTCTCTGCCGATGAGAGGGCGTCTGGCCAGAACGACTTTGGCGGGTTTCTTGAGGGCCGGTGCCTTTTTGTTGGGACCAGATACACGGCGAGCGTGAAGAGAACCGCAGTGGTCCCTGGCGATCCTCCTTCGATCTGCAGGAACAGCCAGCACACCTGTTTCAACGAGGGGCATCGGGCAAATTCTGTCGTGGGCTGTCGGATGTTCGTCCAAATTACGTTGCGCAACAAGACATAAAAACAGGATGAACAGTTGATAGAATTTTTCACACCCTATACAACTATAACTAAACAACTAATAGTTGGGTAAGGGTCCAACTACCCCGTAGTTGAACGGAATCAACTAGTCACCCAAGATTCTTAGCCGGTAGTTGAGTCAACCGAGATTCTGAGCGAGTAGTTGATTGGAATCAACTCAGTCACCCGAGATTTTCAGCCAGTAGTTTGATTGGAATCAACCAGTCACCCGAGATTCTGAGCCGATAGCCGATTGGAACCAACTAGCCACCCACGATCCTGAGCGAGTAGTTGATTGGAATCAACTCAGTCACCCGAGATTTTCAGCCAGTAGTTTGATTGGAATCAACAAGTCACCTCAGGTTTTGAGCCAATAGTTGATTGGAATCAACTCAGTCACCCGAGATTTTCAGCCAGTAGTTTGATTGGAATCAACAAGTCACCTCAGGTTTTGAGCCAATAGTTGATTGGAATCAACAAATCACCCGAGATTCTGATACCTGTGTTCGATTGGCAAAAGGTAGTCCGCACAAACACAAAAAAAACATATTCGCCGAGAACGAAGAGGGACCGAAGCGAAACAACTTTACTAACTTTTGGTCCACAACGTGTTGTGGACCGTTGGGTCAAGATCCAGTGGACACACCCTACGCACACACACGAGACCCGAGCAACCATGCCAGCTGTCCCTACGCCACTACCAGCCGGTGATGACCAGCAAACAGACGAAGGAACCGGTTCATCGGCAGCAGTGAGGTCGGATCGGGAAAGGACCTCTAACGTCGCGGAAAGGGGTGGCGTGGAAGGGTGCCGGGGCCGGGTTGGGAATGGATGTAGATGCGTAGCAGTGCGGACTTGTTGTTTCACGGTTGGGTGGATCGAAAGAGGTATGCATACAAATGCTTCTCCTTCTCCTATATCGCATAATATGTGCAGTCAGTGGAAGTCGGGATCACGGCGGTACCGGTGCTAGCGCAGGATTCTTGAACGTCTTAGCACGATTGCGATTAGACCAGCAGGCTTCAACTGAAAACTGATTCGATTGTGGCGCTTGGGGAACGTGCGCTATTGTAGATCGCCTCGGTTGTTCGTTCTTGCTGAGGTTCGCAACAACAAATGACAAAACTCCACTGTTGGAGATTCTTGTTTCTTTGGGAGTAGTTGGAAGATCGCTGTCGCATTCCTGCTCCCATTCCACCTCATCTTATGTCTGAGGTCCGATACTGCTGTGTTTGTGTTAGTGATTCGACGCGGGATGAAGCGTGAGACGCACAACTTACAACCTAACATGTTATTTTCGCATGAAACATCTAACGGGCTACATACAGAACGTGTTTCTACGCACAGCCCAAAAACGAAGTTGCATAGTTGTTTGTGCACTATCACACTCGTTGCATTTCATCTAACATCCCGTACTTGTTTGGCCTGACCTTCATGGCCGAAAGGCAACCATAACCATTGCCTTTACCATTCATAGCGTTAGCACTGACATCTGTAGTCATCCGCGGGCGACAACCCCAACACATAGTCGGGAAAGGATTCAACTACCAACTAGTCACCCGAGATTCTGAGCCGGTAGTTGATTGGAATCAACGACAGTCGTGGTCCCGGTGTAGCGATTAGTTACCTCCCTGTTTAGCGGGATGCCCTGAATAGCGGTTACAACATCTCGTCACACGGCTGCACCCCGGTTCAGCGGTTAACCGCTAAACCGATCGTGCCCTCAATAGCCGTTTATGGGCATGTTTTCAGCCACCAATAGCGGTTATCGAATCAATTGTTACGAAGACCCAGCGCGCGCTTCGCTTGCACACACTAACATCACACAGCGACATTGGTCAGCCAGGTAGCGTGGTCGATGCTCAAAATACAGAACACACAGCGAGGCACATACACACCATACGGTGCGCAGATGGAGATCAGTACAAGCTGCCAGATACGGCACTGAGGCCAAGCGACGCTCACGACAGTAAAAGTGGCTGTGGTGGAAGGGATCCGGATGGCAACCAGATGTCCCGCAATCGCAACCAGTGTGCACTCAAGAAGGCGCAGAGTTCCCCTCGGGTCTCAAAACCACCCACACGCAAAGAAGTGCGAGGTGGCCTTCTAGCAGCAGGCGCGGGGAAACAACTAACTCGTGCTGCAGCTACACAACAGTCCCGCACGCGGCTCAACCTTGGCTAGATACTTGAGGTTTTGGAGCTTCTTGACCAGAAGGTAGCGCACTCAGGAAAGCGTGCAGGAAGAGATCACCGAAGCTTTGCAGGAAGGACGCGAATGACGAGTTCGTTGACAAGTTGTCCAGTGTGTACATGGAGGGGCCTAACACCTGCAACAACGAACTAGATCTAGAGCTAGATAGCACGGCAGAAGTTGGCGGTGCGAAGAGCAGGGGGGTGACGGCACCGCCACCATACTCGGGGCTATTGTCGGATTATGGCCAGCTTGAAGAGTGCGCGGAGTCGTGTGGCGTGAGAGAGGCAGCACCCTATCTTCGCAAGGCAAACATGGCGTTCCTCGCAGCGCACGCCCCTCGACCAGCGCGCTAGGCAGATATCAGAGAGATGTTGGGTTACGCATGATTGATGCACTCGACAAATAGCAGAAATGCGATTCTCAAGCACGTGGTTGGTTGCCATTGCGTTGTCACGAATTTTCCCCACGTTCGTCACAGTCGCGAACGATTTTCCAATCTTGACGAGGGGTATACAGCACCGGTCGCCCCGGTGGTCTAGTGGGTAGCCTCGCAGCCTGCAAAGGGCCATGTCATGGATTCGAGTCCCGACAGAGTGAGTTTTTTCTCGCTAATTAAATCCTGGTCTTCGTTGGAAGCGACGCGCCGCAAAGCTCGTTGTTAGTAAACTTGATGGACTTCATAAGTCGCGAGGGAAGGGATTGCTTTACCCCTCTTGCGATAAAAATGTCTCTGGCAGGAACCGCAGGTGGGGGTCCAACCCCACACTCCTATGTGACCCCGGTTGGGTCGTCTAGCTGGTAGAAGTGGAGGATAGGGGCCAGAGGGGCAGACGTCAGAGTCCAATGATGGGAGAAAAACAAAACACAAAAAAAAAGTCCAGGACGGGGAACACGCTTTGTGCTTTCGTGAAAATACATGCACTTGCGGTGTTGTCCTCCTAAGGGTGGATATTTCGTTATTCGTCATCTGTGAGACACATGCCTATCAAGATGATCAGCTTTCAACGCTGCTCTTGTTGGAAAAATTGGGCTCTTTCTCGGTTTAGCGGCCAATAACCGTTTAAGAGGTTTGGCGGCGATGCCCTGAATAACGGTTACAAATTTCGTGACACTGTGGACCGCTAAACCGGGACCACGACCGCAGTCGCCCAAAATTCTGAGCCAGCAGTTGATTGGAATCAACTAGTCACCCATGATTCCCAGTCAGTAGTTGATTGGCCAAACAAAAACTATCAACTATCGTAGTTGTACGGGGTGTGGAATTTTTGGTGGTCCAATCGCCACGAAAACTAACAGGCAACCGCTTATAGTCCAAACTTGCTTCGGGGCACCTTCAAGGTGTGACTCTGACAGCTTCCAACCAGGGGACGCGAGCGGAGTACAACATCACTTGTGCAAGACGCCACACCCACCGGACCGATTCTTCAAAGCGCGGTGCGCTACAGCAGGAACAACGACAGTGCCGAAAATGCGGTGTTGGAACCGTCTCTTCCATAGCTTTCCGAAAATGTACTGTTTAACCTCTTCGTCGTAGAGTAGTTGAGCTTAGCAATCGGTCCAGGGGATGTGGAATCTTTTTCAACTTGTACGGCGACCGGCCTTGCAGCGCATGCAGGGGAACGGCATGCCCCGTGCACCGGCACATCGGAATCTTGTCTGCGCGCGAGTCTTGACGCAAGGTTGATCTTTAACCCTGCACGTGTATCTTTTTATCTCGTTCGCGATTTTTTTCCAGGAACGTGACACCTACACATGTCTGACGCTGTGAAGTGTATGTTAGTCGTATTCGTTTCGCCAACCAACTACTTGGTCCGAATCCTGAACAACTACAACTAGCTGAACCCAACCAACTACTGGCTCAGAATGTTAGTCTTGGGCGGGGCGATTGTATAAAACAAGTACCTGGTAGCAATTTGGGTTGTTGGCAGCGGAACGCTTACTACCGGATGAAAATGTGCTGTGAATTGGTTAGGTACATGGGTAGGGACGGCTGACATGTTGCGCTCGGGTGTTGCGCATGGTGTGAACGTGTGCACCCGTTCGTGTCAGCTGAATCTTCACCCAACGGTCCACAACAACATGCGTAACAAAATGGTTGCGCCTCGATGCCTTTTGGTTCTCGGGGCCCAGAATTTTGGACCACTGCAATGTTTTGTTGTTTCAAAAGATCATACAAATCCTTCTCCACAGATAGGAGTCCGTCGTAGATCAGCAATGATATATTAGTGTTGTACAGCAACCAAGTTCGAAGAATATTTGTACGGTTCCCCAAGCAGCATCCAACCAACTACTGGCTGAGAACCTCCACAATCTGCGACGGTAACTGGTTGTTTACTAATATACTACCGTATCTGTCGCTACGAGGAGTTTAAACCCTACACCCAACAAAGAGTAGCGAATTTGTTTTGTCAGGTACTGCTGTAGCTGTACAGTCACAAGCCTAGTCTAGAGTCGCTGAATCTGTTTAGGCCCAAAACCAACGCCAACTGAGCACGTAGCTGGGTTGTACGGAAGCAGCTCCCAGCATCTTTTGCTGCATTCTGTATCGCATTACAGTATGCAGGAGGCCAATGTAAAAGATCGCGTATTGTACCAGTGACGAGGGATTTACGTTTGTATTTAGCAGGCCTTGTTACCGAGGCCCCAACGGTAATAATACACCGACCGTGTAATCAGAGTGTGAGATAACACGAACATTCCATCTTTGTCACACCATTTCACCGGTCATACACAGGGACCACTAGCACTGCTGTACCAACAGACACCATTGTGGACGGTGCGTACGTCAGAGCCAAAGGTATTCGGTGCTACGTACACAGCAGTATGTACGCGTGGCCAGAGCGGCAAAGAGACAACGTGTATTTTTCCGTTCCTGTGTCACCGCACACGTACAGCCGCACCTTACGCGCGTCTCTCGACAAGACCGCAAAGTGAGAGGGGGCAACACGACCGCGACACGGTAACACCATGCGGAAAAGCATGCATGCGAGCGAAGAGGGTCGGATTGGATCGCAAGGGAAGAAAATAGACTGCCGGCAGTAGATCACCATGCACGCACGCGCAGACGATGCCACTGCGACAGCTGTTGTTGGCACAAGTTCAACCACCGGCTCACACACGTTGCACACACGACGTAAGTACCAACGGCTAAGTTTGCATGCTGTATTTGGCAGGTTAAGAAAGGACACCAACAACGAGTGCAACCAACAAGACCTCCTTCATGATTGCCTCCACACTACGACAACAAACGGCAGCATGAACAGCAGTTGGTTGTCAGCCAAAGGTTGGGAGGTGGTCGCGTTTGAAGAGGCACCACGCAGGCGTTGTGTTATTTTTATGCTTCGATTCGTTACCAAACTGAACTGACACATGGATTCTCAGTCTCAAGGCACCCTTTGCCCGGTAGCGATGATCCAGGCAGGCCATATGCATAGTTTTTGTTCACTCACCGACACGATGACCAACTGCAGCACCTTGGCCTGCTCTCCCTTGCTCCATGCGGGGCAATTCCAGCCTGACGACACCATTGCATTCGGTGGCGCGATGCAGCCGCGAGATTGATCTCTACTGCTCGTGCGCCTCCTGTGAGTCGAGAGCTAGAGTGAGCCACCCGTTCCCAACGCCTGTAGAGGCACAATACACCCTGTCGCTTGTCGGTCACCTTCGCCGCGCTCAGAACAAAACGGCCAACTGCCACGCCTCGCTGCTCTCGAACACAGGTGTGATGGAGCCAAAAGTGACGCCACGAGGGGGTCCCGCATTTTGGAACATTTCAAAAAATGTAACGGCAATTTCTTAATTTTCAATTTTCAGGAGAGCTCGAGAGCTCAACCGACTGGCAGAAGAGAACTGAACCGGTGCGTACGTACGTCCTGCTGGGTTGGATCCAGACAGCCAGAGAGCCTGCCAACAACCGCAACCCTTTACCTTGCCTTGCAGCAGTACGGCGGTCGCTTCAAACGATGTTCCGACGCCGGGGAGGAGCTGGATATCGAAGGCTAAGAGTCGCTGCTACCGACTCCACCCACCACGATGTCGGCGGGGCCGGTGAGACCTACCGAGAGAATCCGAGCGCTGATCGCAGCAGGTACGCAAGCGAGATAAGCTCGAGCCTTTCATTACAGATCCTCATCTACTACAACGGTCTACTCTCACTGATATACTTCGTCTTAGGAGGAGGGCTCGTCATCGAGAAGGTGGGTGTGCTGCTACCAAGTGGTCCTCCTACATGAACGAACGGTATTACGGGTGCAGTCCGTTCTCTACCTTGTAGACTACAGCAGTAGGAAGTACTCGTACATATATTCTGTGTATTAGTACATCTGCGGCTGTCGTTGCACACTAGTCTACTAGATTACCAGTGCAGTATTTCTAAATGTGTGTGATGCGTGCTTCTAGTGAGGCCTACTGTGCCTGTGCGGCTGTTGATGTTGTTTATCAGCTACTACTGCTGTAGCAGTCAAGAACTGGAGGGATGCATCCCAGGAGATAGGGCAAAGGGGAGAACCCCATACACCTCCTGCCTGTCTACAAACCACTAGTCTGGGTGGTGCGTTAAACGTATCCCGGAAGGTTTAAAGACTGGCGCCCAGAGTGGATGGCACAAAAGACGTATTTGATCGCTTGTTCCGCCCATGAGTGTAGAGCTGGGATTGAAATGTTGTACACGTTAATACGCACTCTCTGGTGAAACACGCTCAACGGGGGATCCGCCAAAGGAATCTTCTATGCTATGCTTCTACCGTAGACGACTGTAGTTTTTTCTTTTTTCTCCCATTATTGGACTCTGTGGTCTGCCCCTCTGGCCCACATCCTCCACTTCTACTATTAATAGCTAGGCGACCCAACCGGGGTCACATAAGATGGGGGGTTTGACCCCCTCCTGCGGTTTCTGCCTGAGATATTTTTATCGCGAGAAGGATACAGCAATCCCTTCCCTGGCGACTAATGAAGTCGATCAAGTTTACTAACAAAGAGCTTTGCAGCGCGTCGCTTCCAACTTATTAGGCCAAGATTTGTTAAGTGAGAAAAAAACTAAATCTGCCGGGACGCGAACCCACGACCTGGCCCTTAGTGGGCTGCGGGGGTACCCTCCAGACCACCGAGGCGACCGGTTGTACTGTAGGTCTATGTACACAGTCAGTAGCGGTGAATGTACCCCGACCTACAAGTAGGAGGAGAAGGGAAACTCACGCGAGCTTACTGTCTTGATGTGTTTGTGTTTATTGCGGTTGGCCTCGCGCGTAGAATGGGAGCGGTGGACTCTGGCATCGATCCCATGTTTCCCTTCGAGTTGTCACAGCGCGTACCATTCTGGAGGTGGTTCGCCTGTGTACACGGAAGGCGTTCGCGCCCGTTGTGTACACCAGAACGGATGTTACTGAGCAAAGTTCGGGACGGTTAACAGCAATCACAACGACGACGACGACGACGGCTCTTAACCACATCCCGCCACGCTGAGTTTCCCCCCGGCCGGGCTTTCGTAGTTGTCCAACAATCGCGTGGTTTATATTTTCCATGTGTAGTCAGGGCGTGCATTGAGGGGGGAATCACGATTTGAAGGGAACAGTGGCTCCATCAACAGAGTTTCCTGCCACCATTCCCATGCTCCCAGCTCTACAACTATAGGTTCGAGTCGGAGCTTCAACGAACAGTGTTGGCACCGATCTTCATAAGCTGGGCCATTGCGGAGGTGCATCGATTCTACTTTGGGTATAAGGGAAACATCAAAGAGATGGTGAGGAAGATCGCCAACGTTCGTCCGGTTGCGCTTTGTCCAGTAAACCGACGAACGTTGCCGTCATATGGGGACTTACGGTAGAGGCGTGTGAATATTTCCACAACTACTGTAGTGATACACAGGTCATATGACGGCACGCTGAGCTCTCCAGGAGCCCCACCCGTGTTTGGTGGATAGGACAGGCTGCTACACCATTTCATGGGTCTGTGTCATGGCGACATATCTACAACGTGTCAGTTATGGTTATTGCCTTCTTCGTTGCCAGACTGGTTTTGGGCATCATTCTCGACACCAGTACAACCCTGGATCGCCTTTGCTTAGTTTTGAAGAAGCGTCTACTCTTCCCCTTAATCTCTGGCCAGGTACCGCACATGTGTGCCTTCCTGTTGATGACCGTGTTTCCACAGATGTTCTGCCTTGCCTTCTTGGCGTTTTTTCAAGAGCACCAATTTCCCGTCGATCCGATTCTTGGAGCAATCCACATCGCGTTCTTGGTGAGTCATCGATTTCTACGCATGTGCCCACGTGCGTGAACATGGACGTAGACGGCCTTTTGTTTTTGGGATGACAAAACGTTTGCACTAAGCTCACAACGCGTTGATCGGGACGATAAAACATGCTGGGTCACACATACGAACATCGTCAGATGCTACTGTAGATAAAGCAGTGTGTAGTTGTGGTCTCAACAAGGAGGAAGACAAGGGCACGAGGAATTACCACGCCAACAAGAACGACACACAGAGCATTTGCCCAACTGGTCACTATGGGAAGTACAATCTCGTGAGTTGTCAAAGCGCCATGTCTACCAGGTTGTCCGTGTCTACCTTTTGGTACGTGCCCCCATCATTCGTAACCCTCCCCGCTTCGGTCCCATACTCTGATCGACTGGAAGTTGACTGGAAGTTGGCAATAGACAGGCACGTGAACGACTCTCCCCGTCAACCGTGAGCAATACATGTATCCTTGCGGTTCAAACCCCCCATTCCCTTCCCCCGCTCGCCGTCTGTCGTCCGGCATAGGCATCCGAAACAATTGTTGGCTACAACGGGATCAAGGCAATAATCAACAAAAGAACCGCGCAGTTTTTCCGCGTAGCGCAGGAAGAGTACCTTCTGCGGCCAGTGAGCGAGGAGCACGCAAGGCTTTTGTAACACATATTTGGACTTCGGTAAACGATTGCTAGAAAAACCCGGAAGAACTTGTAACACACGTGGAAGAGGATCGACACTTCTAACCCTCCTACTGTCGCTCGATGTTATTTCGCGTGTACTAGAGTACTCAGGGATCACTCCACTCTGTTCATGCGGGAACATTTCGTCATATCCGTGCCTGCTTGGTTTGTTTCAATGAACATGGTTCAAGTTGAGTTGCTTAACCGCGGCATGCGGTAATAATGTAGTCTAATATGTTTACCCAATGTTGGTTGGCAGATGTCACACGCAAAGAGACTGGAGGCGGTCATCGCTTTCGCTATCGTATCGCTATCGTATCGCTTTATTCTGAGAAGGGTCGTCGGGGAGGCGGGTAGGAGGCGGGTAGGAGGCGAGGCGCCTACGACGCGACGATCGCTAGGTCACCATGGATACCTAAATTTCCATCGCCTATCGTTGAGTCTTCCCGAACGAAGTCGTACCGGATCCATTCTCAACGATACGTAAAACATGCAGTCTATGGTGGAATCGGTTCGTCAAGCCTGGTGGCGTAAGCCGCCGAAACCCTTTGTAGTCGCCACGCTTTGTATTGTAAGTTGTGGGCAGCTTCGATGACCACCTTGTCACACGTTGCTTGCTTCATGTATAACAGAAACGCAGCCGAGGAACGTCGTACAGTATACTTCGTTGCGGCGATGGAAAGAGGTACAAGTTGGACGGCGTTCCGAACAAGTCAACCCTTGCATGGTGTTTAATTTCCTTGTCTGGTGTTGAAAAGGGCACGACAGTTAACATGCCTGATTGTCCGTGTATATTTTTCTCTTCGGCAATAGATAGTGAGCAATCTCGCCGATGCGGGTAGGAAAACTGCGAACGGTCGATTACCAGACGCACGCGTAGTGTGCACAGGCGGCCGGACTTTAGGCGGCGCGTCATACCCCAACATAGCCCAAGCTCGACACCACCAGCACCAACAAGGACAACTCGTAGAGGTGTTTTCTCCTCATCCCATCGCCGTCGACCCGAGCTACACGGCACAAATAGAGGCTACGTGCTGTGCAGGAAGACGCCAAAAACAGCCCTAGGAGCTTGTCACCCCCTGTCATTCGTGCTGGTAGCGACGACGAGCTTCGAACAGAGTCTTTTGTATATCGGTGTTCACCGCCGTCTTTTTTTGTTTTTGTTTTATTTTGATCGGTTTCCGAGGGCTCTTTTCTCGAACGGTCGGTGCGGTACGTGTTATTTTCTTTTTATATTTTGTTTTCTTTTTCGGAGTGGTTAATACCCTATTCTTGTTTTGTTTCCCCGCGGCGTCGTATGTGCCGGGTTTTGAGACCACGGGCTCCCCATTTTTTGTGGACTATAGAGCTAATGTGAGAAACAACAAACAACAACAACAACCCGCAACACGAGACGATGAATTTCCAAGAGCACTAGGCTATCTCGGGTTGCACTTTGTTTCGAGACAACTACTTCAAGCCTCTCGTTCACGAACGAGTTTTAGCAGACGCTCCAGGCTGTTCCGAGTGTCGACCGTGAAATGGTGACTTTCCCCCAGCTTCTTTCGAAATATACAGGATGCCCTCTCCAGAAATGGAACAGCCTCCTTGCACTTGCCCTGCGGATGTTTGAGATACGAGGTTGCGAAATTCAATGCCGTGCGTATGAGGTATAGACTATGTGAACGTGACGTTGCTCTGGCATATACTCGAAAGAGCGGCAGAAGTGCTTCTCATGTTTATCTGGATCCGAAATTGTGGGGAAGCATTTTCCAAGCACTCGGTTGTTGAGAAATGCACCATTTAATCATAAATTGCAAAAACCACGTGCCTTGAACGACCCCGCCAGCCACCCGGCTGTTGAGCAACGACATTCCCACGACTCTTCATCCAACATGGCTCTCCCCGGTCGATAGTCCTCAAAAAATCCAACTGCGCTGACTCTCCAACAACACCGCACGGTTGTTGATAGCTCAAAACTGCACAGAATATCACAGGAACACTTCCTGGAACTTCGAAAAGGCTCTCACTTGCTTGTGCAACAGCCCCGCCCGGTTGTTGAGCGTTCTGGCCAAACTCGGGTGCTCACACCCTAAAACCTTCTCCTCGATTGCCTGACATCGCTCATAGAGCGGCTCCGCCTCTGCATACTTGCCCTGCACATACCCGAAAGCGCGGCAGACGAAAACTAATTCAGCAAAGGGATGGACTTGAAGCATTCTTTCAACGCCGGGCTGTTCGCAGTACACCCACATAGCAACGCTCGAAACATTCAAGCGAAATTCCACCCGTTCCCACCTGTGCCCTCAACAATTCCGCCGCCCGGTTGTTGAAAAGCGGCATATCCACCACATGATAGTGTTATTCGAAATCCCTTCACTCTCCCTACCCCGAAGGAAACGACGCTGAATGTCTTAAGGCTCTCACCTGCTCGTACAACAGCCCCGCCCGGTTGTTGAGCGTCGCGGCCAAACTCGGGTGCTCAGACCCTAAAATCTTCTCCTCGATTGCCTGACACCGCTCGTAGAGCGGCTCCGCCTCTTCATATTTGCCCTGGTACATACTCGAAAGTGCGGCAGCTTCGTATTTCAGCGAAGGCGGGATCTGAAGCATTATTTCAACGCCCGGTTGTTGCGCAGCACACCCAAGATAGCAACGCTCGAAATCATACCAGCGGAATTCTACCCATTCCCAACTGTGCCCTCAACAACTCGGCCGTCCGGTTGTTGAACAGTGCCATATCCACCACTTGAGAGAGTTCTATTCGAAATCCCTCCACTCTCCCTGCCCCAAAGGAAACGCCAACGACTCTTACCTGACACTGCAACAACCTCGCCCCGTTATTGAGCGCTGTTGCCACTGTTGGATGCTCCGGACCCAACGCTGCCGTCCAAATCTCTGTTGCTCGTTCATTCAGGGGCACGGCATCGACGAACTTGCCCTGCAGGACCACGTGTTGGCTGGGGGCTTTGGAACACTGCCGAATTGTCCCAATATTGAGTAACAAACCACAAAGAAACATCCGGAATAATTCCTCCGACCTGCTGGTACACGGTTGTCGAGCACAACAGCATCCGCAGACACCCACAAAGAGACATGCTTGATATTTAGCGATTCTCACCTGTCTGGTTAACAAATCAGCCCTGTTGTTAAGCACTGCCGCCACCGCAGGGTGATCGGGTCCTAGAGTTTTCTCGCGGATGGCAAGGGAACGCATGTACAATCTCCCGGCTTCGTCGTATTTGCTCTGGGGTATGGCGAAAACGTCCGCAAGGAACATGGTCAAGACAAGAAGCGTTGGGGAACAAGCTCAGGACCGAGCTGTACTTTCTCCACTCTCAGTACATCACGGTGTAGTGACAGACAAAAAGCCACCGCAAAATGTCGGGAACCGTACTACATATTGGGGGGAAGGTCCCTGAGCAGTCTTCTGGTCGTGGGCTAGGGTGTTGTGCCAAGGAATTTTTCCGCGATATATCGGGACCCCTACAGCATTCGAAGATACCTAGGATCGACCTTGCATAGAAAAATGTTTGTTTTTGTGAAAAAGGGTCCACCAGAGAAACCTTACCCAATAAACGCGGATCCTGTCATCTTTTATCATTGTCTCACATGCGCAGTCAACAATCCCGCCTGGCAGTTGAGCACTGTTGCCACCGCCGGGTGATCCAGTCCAAGGGCTTCCTCGCGGATGGCAAGGCAACGTTCGAACAACGGCTCGGCTTCATTGAACCTGCCCTGGAAGGCCGCGAAAAGACGGGAGATTGGTTGTGGTGAAGACCAGAACTACGGGAAAATGTTCGCGAACAACCACGCCCGTTGTCAATGAGCACTGAAAACCAATAACATACCACTGAAACCAGTAACATACCACAAGGTGTTTGCCTGGAAGTTATGACGGGTCTCACCTGAGTGTGGAACAACCCCGCGAGGTTGTTGAGCCACGTGGCAAGATCCGGATGCCCTTTGCCCAGTACCTTCTCTCCGATAGCAATAGCCCTAACGTACAAAGGTTCCGCCTCGTCGAACTTGCCCTAGAAGGTGAGGGAAAACAAGGAATAGCATTGTGCGCCACTAGTACAGAACACCTACGTCAAAAACATCCGGCTGTCAAGCGTTGTTGTCGAATCGGCACCCACTGCCTGTTCGCGGATGGGAAGGGGACGCTCAAACAATGGGCCAGCTTTACCGTATTGGCGATGGTATATGACAGAAGACGTTACACTCAAATGTGTCAAAACAAGATGCGGAGGAACAGCGCCAACAAAAAAACGGTTGTTGAACGCTGTTGCCACTGTTTGGTGCTAATAACCTAAGACCCTCATCCAAATCGCCGTAGTCCGTTCGTTCAGAGGAAGTACTTATCCTGCCGAAACTTTGTGGCCCACAGAGCCAGCTGGAGTTCCATTTGATCAGTGGAACGGCAGAGTTAACCTGTTCACATAGTTTGGGCACAGAGTGTCGCCTGGAGTCAATACGCATACGGCGGTGGTGGTGTTGAAACTTGAGCGGGCAACCTTAAGAAACTCTCTGGAAACATCTGACAGCTCTCACCTGCGCTCTCAACAACTCGGCCCGGTTGTTGAGGCGTATAGCAAAATCGGGGTGGTCAGGGCCCAACGTATCTTCCCCCATCTCAACGTCTCGAAGGCACAGACGGCCTACCTCCACATACTTGCCCTGGAAACAAACGTGGACAACGCAAAAGGAGAGTATTATCGGCAAGTATTTTTTGCTGCGGAGGCACAAAAACCCTACAACCACGCGCTGCTAGTGAGGGATACTCCCACGGTCGGATGGTCAGGGCCCAGCGTCTTCTCCGCAATCTGTTTTGCAAGCACGATGTTGTTTTCTTCACACGTGCACGCAACCGCGACGGGGAACGCACATAGCGAAGGGAAGCCAAGCTTACTGCGGAGGAAAAATGCCCAGAAACCGCATGTGGCTATCGCGCACTGAGGCTCAGTTGGAATGATGATCGATCGCCGACGATTGAAACAAGAATTCTTTGGTGGTCGCGGGGGGTCTTCCTCTTCATTCTGCTCTGGAACGAGGACGGAAAACGATGGGAGATTGGTCAAGCCCAGGGAAGTATTGCACAGGGGGAGGAGATGCTTTGAGAACTTCCACCACGTATGCGAGCTGATAAACACGCGGAGGCGCAGTTCGACCGCAGTTCACGCCTTCAAATTTGCTTGGCCCTGTAAGAACCCTGAGCCTACTTGTTGACGAAAATTGTCTCCGTTTGCTCGATGAAACTGTTCCTGAACCAAGAACTAGGAAATAAGAGAAACGGGTGTCGCGGCCTACGGAGTGAGAAGATGCGCATGCGTTCAACCTGTCGGGCGATCTTTCAAACAATCCTGGAAATGCATTGTGGTTGAAGTGCTCACACGCTACCTGTTCTCGCAGAACAGCCCCGAGGTTCGATCTGGCCGTATTTACGCCGAGCAACGCCCGTCTGGATTTATTGCTGTCATCGTCCTCAACCCCCTGTTTGTCGTTCTCGGCCTCCGATAGTTGCTGGAACATAAACGGAGCACAAACCCTCCGCAATTGGTTAGATGTTAGTCAGACATGCAAGGAATGTGGACGCCAAAGCCTGGCGGCGTCCCTCGTCCTAACGACAGGTGTTCGAAAGGTGTTGCTATACTACTTCTCACGGGAATAAGACCCGACCTGAAAGCACCAAGCGAATGGTCAGCCAACATATTCCGCTTTGTAGAAGGGAAAACAAGGTTGTTGGTCATGGTGGTGACCTATCGGAATATCGTCGGTGCTGAGAGCGACTGTGAGCGATCCCACGCAGCTCTGGCTTACGAATAAATATGAAACTCGGCGAGGAGCATACACGGGTAGTTGGTAGGATATTTTGCTCAGCTCGACGACAGAGCGGCAGACACAAACGTTGAAACGCAATCTCAAACGGCAGCGTAGTCCTATTCGTCTTGCTTGAAGGCAACGAAGGACGTCAACGAGGGTTGCATTCTGCGCGCCCAGCGCTTTAAGCATCCAAATACTTAAGGTAAGTCCAGTCTATGGCACACGTTGGCTGTAGACGTATGCAAATGGACCTGCAGTATGGAAGAGGCGCCTTGAGAAAGCATGGACAACACAGTACCGTACCATTGAGTTGCACTTGACCTGTCTGAGGCCTTCCTCGGCCTGGTCGTACTGTCCAGAAGCGAGGAGCAATTCCGGCAAACAGTATCCAGTTCTAAACCAGCCCTGTCGAGCCAGGCGGATCATCTCCTCCGTAACCTCGCGGGATAGAGTGCTGAAAAGGTCGGTAGCGCGCATTTTCGAGGTCACCTTCAGGTCTCTCGCCCACTCGTACACAGCGTGTTGGTCGCTTTTCAGTACGGAGAAGTCGCCGAGGTGGAGCTGAATCTCGCATAGGTGCTCGTTCACGACGGGATTCATTTTCACATCCCGGTAACCGCCGGGCATCCAATCGTTGTTGAAGCCGTTTGTCACCCGCCGTACATCCTGTCGGAGGCATTATAAGAAGCAAGTAGCAAACGACAGACGCACCGAAGTGGTGTGGAAACGTCCCACCGCGATTCGGCTGCTTTGGCACAAGGAACATATGCCTCGGCGTCTAAAGTGACGGAGGAGACGAGATGAAGCCGCCAAGCATGCGGGTCCACCAAAAGTGAGTATTTAAACGGAACTGAAAGGTAAAAAGTGAATGATTGGTAGAAGAGTGAACGACGCCAGGGTTTCGCAAGGCCACAATAAGGCGTCGTGAATTGTACGCTGTCGAATCTTGCCAATGGTAGTCACCAACCCCAGCCTGGGGGGCGGATCCTGCTGGGCAATTGGTACTGGGAAAAGGAAGGCGAAAGCTGTCTCGTCAGTCGACCGGAGGACACACTCACGAGGGAAACTGACCACGGCAAATGGTAAAACAATGTCAGGGTATGCGTGCAATAGAGTTGATGAAATAGGCAGGCATAATTTATGTTCCCGAAGCACTCGGTACCGAACAACCCGGAGCATCCCGGTCATTGTCCACAATCACTAATTTTTTCGCAAGCAGCACAAGGGCGTGCTTTTCAGTTTTCCAAAGTTGCCTCAGGTACCAAAAAAAAATCAAGCAGCCAACCAAGAGCAAGTCACAGCAACTACGAAAACGAACTTGCAAGGCCTCATTTGAATATTTGCGAATCCGCGAACACACCCTTCTCACCAAGGATCCCATGATGTCCGAGTACACATGCTGCAAGTCCTCCGGCGTGAGACAGATCACAGATACCCGAGCCATGTCAGCAACCTTTCGGACGTCGCCGCCATAGAATCTCCTGACCTTCCGCTGCGTGCTTTCCCGTGACTTGACTTCCACGTGCTGAACCTCGTATCTCCCCCAGTCGTCCGCTAAGTTCGTTATGATCTCGTCCAAACGCCGCTTTGCAAGCTCAGCGCCGGCAAGGTAGAATTCAAGCTGGTTTGCAAGTCGAACGTCCTCATCGCCGCAGCCGTGTAATTCCAAGACCTTGGGCTGGGAGAAGTCCTTCGACCGAAACGGGGCGATGTCGCGAAGACATTCGAGCCCTCCCTCCTTGCCGAGCTCGTAGTACAAGTTGTCGTACGCTGCTTCGAACTGCAGTACCGTCTGGATTTGAAGGTACTTGAGCAGATTCACCTTGGCGTCTCGAACAACAGGCGGTGTTGCACTGTCACATGACTTTTTGAGCTCGGCCTCCAGGCCAATAAGATCCTTGATGTCGACCTTCATCGATCTGCGGCACAACACGAACAAGAGAAAAATATCAACGGATTGCCATCCTTATTACCGCAAAGGGCGCCTAATAGAAGGATGCCCAGGTCGTGGTAGCATTGACCCTCTGCGTTGAACAGGCAGTCTTATTTGGTGAAATGGTGAGATATGGCAAGGCAAGGAGAGGTCGTAAGAGTGAAAGTGTACATGGCGGAGAGAGGGCCGGATGGGCAACCCAAAGAACTCCCGCTCCGCGCCTCGTGGCTTGGAAGAAGAGTCGAATCTAGAGCCAGATGTCTTGTTTCCCAACGGCCAACGAGATACGCTGGCCATATCATATAATCTTCCAAAAGGCTTCCTCGTTGTAAGGATTTTATTAAAGCCAATCTCAAAGAGAGAAGCCAGAAAACATGGACGTACGTGCGAGGACGTCTGTCTGTGGATGACTCAAATTGAAATAATCAATAAATGGCGTTGTTCACCAGAACACGAGCACCCACCCACTGCATTGATTTTTTGTAGAATTTTCTGGTGATGGATGTAAGAGAGGCAGGCACTAGCAAGACAAAACAGGTTACTTGCTTATTCCGTCTTGTGTGTCTATCCTTGCGTGTCTCGTGCAGGAATACTGGATGCTCCCTCTCATCAGTTGATACGGTCGCCCCGGTGGTCTAGTGGTATCCTCGTAATCCGCTAGTCGCAGAGGTCGTGAGTTCGAATCCCCATGGGGTGAAAAAATTACGAAATGTGCGGGTGGAAGCGAAATATAGCTGACAAGCTCTCGTGAGTGCCAAACTTCGACGTTAGCACCGTTGACGAGGGAAAGGGATGGCTGGACCTGTTAGGTATACTCGCAGCAGTATCTGGTCGTGAGGATCCCAGGGGGATACGTGTTGAGGATTTCGTGTGTTGAAGGGAACCACCGGCGCAGTCACGGGAACCCTTTGGGTGTGGTCGGTGCGATGATGAGGCTTGCGTGCGTGCTGCGCNTGGCTGGACCTGTTAGGTATACTCGCAGCAGTATCTGGTCGTGAGGATCCCAGGGGGATACGTGTTGAGGATTTCGTGTGTTGAAGGGAACCACCGGCGCAGTCACGGGAACCCTTTGGGTGTGGTCGGTGCGATGATGAGGCTTGCGTGCGTGCTGCGCACTTCTTCCCTCCACCACCACCGTCTCTCTCCAATCAAGTCTCCTTCTCCCACTCTCTCCCTAACTCTCTCTCAACCTCTCTCTCTCGGCCTAACACGGCCGAATACCCAGTGCCCCAAAGTAACGTCCAGAACGTGCTTGCTGCACCCCGCGTAGTGTGCCGATATCACGGTATCTGCG